TCTCTCTTTCTGTCTCTGTCTTTCTGTCTCTGTCTCTTTCTTTGTCTCTCTTTCTGTGTGTGTCTGTCTGTCTCTGTGTGTGTGTCTCTCTCTCTCTTTCTGCCTGTCTCTGTCTTTCTCTCTGTCTCTTTCTCTCTGTGTCTCTCTCTCTGTGTGTCTGTGTCTGTCTTTCTGTCTTTGTCTCTCTCTCTCTCTCTCTGTCTCTCTCTCTCTCTCTGTGTCTGTCTGTCTGTGTCTTTCTCTCTGTGTCTGTCTGTGTCTGCATCTGTGTCTGTCTGTCTTTGTCTCTCTCTCTCTCGCTGTCTCTCTTTCTCTGGAAGCAATGGATGGAAACTAATCCAGGAGAGGAGCAACTTGGAACTAAGGAGAAATTTCCTGACAGTTAAAACAGTTAAACAGGGAACAACTTGCATCCAGAAGTTGTCGATGCTCCAACACTGGAAGTTTTTAAGAAGAGATTGGACAACCATTTGTCTGGCATACAATAGGGTTTCCTGCCCGAGGAGAGGGTTGGACTAGAAGTCCTCCAAGGTCCCTTCCTACCATGTTATTATGTGTTTATCCTGTGTACTTGTTCATCAGGTTAGCTCCTTTTGTTTTCAGGGTTCCAAATTTGACTCGAGGGTAAGATTGTGGGCGACAATTACATTTGTTTGGAGAGATTTTGTTTGAGAGTGGAAATTGACAGAACAAAGTAAGCAAGACAGGTAATTAGGAATTGATCTTAGGAAAAAGCTATGTCCCTTTGTACTAAAATATCTTAGGTCAGTGTGTTTCAAACTTGGATACTTTAAGATTCAACCTGGAAATAAAGAGAAACTTTCTGACAGTGAGAACAATCAACCCACGCAACAGCTTTTGCCTTCAGAAGTTGTGGGAGCTTCATCCCTGGAGGCTTTCAAGAAGAGACTGGACTGCCCATCTGCCAGAAATGGTGTAGGGTCTCCCGCTTGGGTGGGGGGTTGGACTAGATGACCTACAAGATCCCTTCCAACTCTGTTAATCTGTTATATGTGGAGTTCAGTTCCCAGAATCCCCCCAGCCAGCATGGGGGGAATTAAAGGCCACTCACCTTAAAGTGGCCAAGTTTGGAAAAATAAAAACCTAGTCTTGAAAAAACACTATTTTAGAATCTCTGGCTTTAGATTTGGAGAGTCAAAGAGGGTTGAGTGGGTTTCACCTGATCACAGGGTCTTCTAGACGGTCCTCGATTTACAATTATTCATTTAGTGACCCGTTCAAAGTTACGACGGCACTGAAAGAATGGACTCGTGACCGCTGTTCACCCTTAGCAACCGTTGCCGCATTCCCTAGGGTCACGTGATCGCAATTCGGAGGCTTGGCCACTGGCATGTACTTATGACAGTTGCAGTGTCCCGGGGTCAGACCTTATCTATCTTGGAAAGCTGCCTGGTAAATATTTCCACACTCAGTGCTGACAAGGAGGGGCTGAGCACAGAGTTTCTAGGTTACACAGACAAATCTTCACGAGGCTGGAATGAACAAACAGATGAATTGTTTCCTTCAAAAGCCCCCCCCCCCTTTTGCTCCTTTTTTAATCCTTATGGGAGGGGCCATTCATCATCCACCTGTGGCCTTACTCCAATGTCGACTCTGAGTTCTTAATTGTGCCTTCCCTTTGGCAGCTCTGCACATGCGCAGGCTGGGAACCGGTTCCAGAAGCTCCCCCGCCTCACTGCTGTCCGAGCCCAAAGGCAGCTGATAACTGCCAGCCTGCCCCGGCCCCATCTCTGCCTCCGATGCAGAGCCCTCATCCGAGCCATCCTCAGCCTCCAAGACTGGCCTGGGTTCCTCCCAAACCTCCTCGCTACTGTCTGACTCTGCTGCCAGCTCTGCCAGCCACCAGTGAGCCACAACACTTAGCAATGGGAATTTTGGATTCAACTTTGGACCTAAATTGAGGACCACCTGTAGTTAGAGCTTACTTTTCAGCTGCTCTGACTAAGGCTTCCTGAGACCATAATTAAGCACCCGCTTAGTTAAAACAACTCTTGTTTTATTTCAATGCTGGGAATTATTTTCATTCCCAGCTGGTAATGTCCCAAACAGTCCCTCGAGATAAACACCCACCTTTCTCTCCTTTGAATTGCTGCCAACAACTAGACTGACAAATGAATTATTAAAAAAACCCAACCGAAGAACAAAGTCCACACAGAGCTTCAAGGATTAATTCGAACAGAACGAACGACTTTGCTTCCTGCAAAGGTTCCATCATCTTGGCCTGTCCTTTATCCCTTATGGGAAGGGCATTCACCTCCCAGCCTTACTCCCGAGTCGCCCCTTTGGTCTCAGCTGCTCTTGCCTTCCAGCAGCTCTGCGCACATGCGCACTGGGAACAGGCTCCCCTGGGTCCTCTGCCTCGCTGCTTCCAGACTCCAAAGGCTCTGGAGGCAGCAGCCCACTCCTAGATGGTCCTCCTGAAGATGGAGCCCACCAAAGCACAACTACACGAAGCTCACTCACTTCCCAATGGCGGCCCAGATCTTCAACCCATCATCCCGGTAGTAGAAGTTGGGCAAGGAGGAGACGCCCCTTTCTTCAAGGTCATCGGGGAGGCAGAGGGAGGTGTAGTTGGAGACTTCTACCCCTTTGGCTAGCAGCTTCAACATGCCATCCCGGCCTGTAGCTGTGGCCTGGAGAAAGGAAAAACTGAGGTCAACACAACTGCCACGAAAAGCGAATTCTCTTCCAGGAGAAACTGAGGTGGACCCATCGGCTGGTATCAGTGGGGCCAGCTGACTTGGGAGGTGGGATTCAAAAATCCCAGGGACTGCTGGTTCACTGTCCGTTTGCTGGGTGGGCGTGGCTATGATGGGCGTGGCCTACCGGAACTTCCGAGAGGGCTGTTTTTCATCTTCCCCAGAATCCGGAGGCTTCCCTCAGGCTTCTGGGAGGGCGAAAATGGCCTCCCCCGGGCTCCGGAGGCCCTCTGGAAGCCAGAAAAGGGCCTGTTTTCAGACTTCCGGAAGGCCCATTTTTCCCTCTGCAGGGACCCTGTTTTACCTCCATCGAAAATGGGCTGCGTGGAGATTCCTGGGAGGGGTGGGGCAAATTGGGCAGGGCCAGCCAGTCGAATGCTGGTTTGGCAAACCCGATGAAAATTTAACCGCTGGTTCACCCAGACTGGTCCAAACCGATAGAATCCCACCCCTGCTTGGGACTGTCCTCCCAGGTCTTCCCATGAGATGGGATACTTCAACACTAGCGAAAGAAGCCCAAGGAACTCATCCATGGAAAAAGAGGGAGGAGAACCTGTGACCAGTGATTGCTGGTTTGGTTTCCAATTCATCCTTCTAGACCAGTGGTTCCCCAACCTTTTTTGGGGGGGGCCACGCCCCATCTAAGCATCTCTACAATCCTGATGCCCCCTCCCACCCCCCGTGACATATAATTCTTACTATTCAAAAAGCGCACTCTACTCTACTGCCTAAAAAGGTTCCTCCACGTGAGTAGTTTAAACAAGGTTCCAAAGAACGAAAGACAGTAGAAGTAACTGAGGAACTTGGTGCTCTGAGAGGAAAAGTAAAACAAGGCCTGAGAAATGAAGATAAGAAAAATAGAGTACCCACGTCTCCATTTGCAATTTGAGAGTACAATATCTATGAATATACACAAAATATACATCCAACACTGACTGTAACGCTTAGCCGAGTATAATACACAAGAGATGGGTTGTACTATAATATGTTATCTTTCCACATCTTAATGAGGTAGTGACTTTGTGTTTATTTGGGGTTTGGATGGCCCAGGGAAAGAAACTATTTGTTAGTCTAGTGGTGTGGGATTTTATTGACCTAAAACGCCGTCCAGACGGCAGCAGGTCAAAAAGATAATTGCCAGGGTGTGAGGGGTCTTCTATGATGGCCTTGATTCTGCTTTGGCAACGGGACCTGGCTAAGTCTTCCAGGGAGGGCAGAGGGCAACCAATGATCTTTTGAGCTGTGTTTATCACCCTCTGTACCGTTTTCCTGTCCTCAACCTTGGAGCCTGCATACCACACACCCAGACAGTACGTCAGAGTGCTCTCTACAGAGGCTTTATAGAAAGCCAGCAACAGCTTCTTTTCCAGATTGTTCTTCCTGAGAACCCACAGGAAGTGCAGCCGCTGCTTGAGCCTTCTTTACTATGGCCTTGGTGTTAGGGGAATAGGTGAATGAAACACAGCTGTTTCATCACAAATATATAAGAACAGTTAGCAGGCTTTCAAAAATTCAGTCAATAACTCATTTTTAATTGCCCCCATTAAAAATCAAATTGCCCCTCTCCCCGTGGGGCATGGACAACCTCTGTTCTATACCCTCATTGAGGTCTTTCTTCTAAACCATCTGCGTTTCTCATCGCCTACATTTCTGATCTGTTAGAACGGGGGTCTCAAAAACTTGGCAGCTTTTAAGACGTGTGGACTTCAACTCCCAGAATTCCTCAGCCAGCTGGGGAATCCTGGGAGTTGAAGTTCACAATGTTGCCAAGTTTGGAGGTCTCTGCATTGGAATGTCCAGATCTTCGACTGCTTCTACATCGCCAACCGCTTTTAGTAGAGTCGAATAGAGTCGTATTTTTACATTTCTCTCATTCAGGCCAGCGTGTCTCAAGATAAGCCATAAGACGTGTGGACTTCAACTCCCAGAATTCCCTAGCCAGCTGAGGCATTCTGGGAGTTGAAGTCCCCACGTCTTAAGCTAAGAAACGCTGGTTTGAAGGACCGTATAGAGAAACACGGAGCTATTCAAAACAAAGGCAGAGTGATGAATGTTAGACATGCACAGGAATTATATTTCAAACTGACGAAAAATAAGACTCGGTAAAAGCAAAGTGGATTGGTTGGCAGGCTCTAGAAGTTGCGTGTGTGAAGTCTGAACTCTTGAGGTAGAATTAGAAGGCCAGCCTTTCTGTTGTCAAAATGTCTCCCCATTTGGAAGATTTCTTACCTTATCAAAGACTCCACCAGGCTGGATGAGATTGGTACGAGCAAGCGTATTAATATGGAGAGTGTAACGGGTATGGGGTATCAGGAGCTGAAATGAAGAAAAAAGGATGGAAGGAAAGGAAAGGGGAGGGGAGGGAGGGAGGAGAAATAGAAAAGAGGAAGGGAGGGAGGGAGGAGAGAGAGAGAAAGAAAGAGAAAGGAAGAAGGAAGGAAGGAAGGAAAAAAAGAAAGAGAGACAGATAGAAGGGAGGATGGGAGGAAAGAAGGAAAATAGAAAATAAGGGAGGGAGGGGGAAAAGATAGAAAAGAGGAAGGGAGGGAAGCAATTGAAAATAGGGAAGGAAGGAATGAGATAGAAAAAAGGAAGGGAGGGAGGAGAGTGAAAGAAAGAGAAAGGAAGAAGGAAGGAAGGAAGGAGAGACAGAAGGGAGAATGGAAGGAAGGAAGGAAGGAAAATAGAAAATAAGGGAGGGAGGGAGATAGAAAAGAGGAAGGGGGGAAGAAATTGAAAATAAGGAAGGAAGGAATGAGATAGAATAGAGGGAGGGAGGGAGGGAGGAAGAAAAATAGAAAATAAGGGAGGGAGGGAGGAGAAAAAGAGAAGGGAAGATGGGAGGGAAAATGGAGAAGAAGAAAGGGAGGGAGGAGAGAGAGGATGGGAGGAAAATAGAAAAGAAAGGAGGAAGGGAGGGAAGGAAGGAAAGAAAGAAAGAAGGAAGGAAGGAGAAACAGAAGGGAGGATGGGAGGGAAAATGAAGAAGGAAGGGAGGGAGGGAGAGGATGGGAGGAAGGGAGAGAGGGGAAAATAGAAAAGAAGGAAGGGAGGGAGGGAGGGAGGGAGGGAAGGAAGGAGAAACAGAGAAGGGAGGATGGAAGGGAAAATGAAGAAGGAGGGAGGGAGAGGATGGGAAGAAGGGAGAAAGAGAAAAAGAGAAAAGAAGGGAGGGAGGGATACTGGTTAGACTTCACCATGGAATATAATTTGGGGAATACTGGGAGTTGAAGTTCCCTCATCTTAAAGGGGCCAAGTTTAAAAAACAGTGATGTAATAGGCTCCAAAGAAGTTTATAAGATCAACCTTGACTTTTCAAAGTCTCCATAGTCAACTTCCCAAAGTTGGTTTTGAAGGCAACAAACCCATCTTCAGAAGCAGAACCAAGGTGGCCTCTAAAATTATTTTTTTAGCTCCCTCCAGATTATCTCTGGGAACCCGCCACCCCCAACAGGTGCACAAGGCCCAGCCCATGCTGGGAGCCTCCCCCACCCACCCATTCTCAAGACCATTACCTTGTAAATAGGGTGACACATGGGAAGCTGCCGAAGGGTAGCCATGGCGTAGACCTCGCAGTGAAAATGGGCTTCCAAGAGGTGGGTAATGACCTCGTGGACGTGGAAGTTGGCCATTCGCACCCAGACCTTGGCTAAAGTCCAGTCCCACTTACGGTCTGTGGGCAAGAAGATGGGGCTTTCCATGCTATGGGTCTGGCTCAGCTGGGAAGAGGAAGGAGAAAGCGGATTTCAGCACATTCAGCCTCATTCAATAGCTCTGTGTGGACCCAACTTGTTTCCAATTGTCTATAAAGAGAGAGCAAACCCCACACCCTTCTAGCACTGATGTAGTTGGGTTATGAAACATCTCTAAGAAATGCACCAAGATTAGGGACCATCATTTTCTCCTCCTGCTCCTCCTCCTCCCCTTCCCAAACTCCATCTCCTTCAAGCACTGATAATGTTCCCTAGTTGGGTCATGAAACGTCTGCAAGAAAACGATCAAGCTGAGAGAGCACCAAGGACCCCACAATCATCAGCGTCCTCCCCCTCCCTCTCCTCCTTCTCCTGCTCCTCCTCTCAAACCCCAATCACTCCTAGTACTGATGATGTTCCCTAGTTTGGTCATGAAATGCCTGCAAGAAAAACAACCAAGCTCAGACAGCACCCAGGACCCCACAGTCCTTAAGCATAGAATTCTGGGAGTTGAAGTCCACTTATCTGAAACCTAGAATTCTAGGAGTTGAAGTCCACTTAAACATGGAATTCTGGGAGTTGAAGTCCACCTATCTGAAACCTGGAATTCTGGCATTGAAGTCCACCAACCTTAAACCTGGAATTCTGGGACTTGAAGTCCACCTATCATAAACATGGAATTCTG